TGATGTTCAAATGTTGTCGGCCAAACAATTTTTGAAGGGATTTTAAAGCAAAGCAACAACCTGTTCACTACACTCTTTTTATCACTTTATCATGAAAAATCAGCTTTTTTTCAAATTTCATCTATTATTATTTATGGTTAAATTTATTTTTCTATGGAAATTATTCATTTTAGAAACGAACCGTCTCGGGACCTCAGTCGGCAGAGCGCTCGCTCCGTGATCGGAAGGTCGTGAGTTCGAATCTCGACCGCGACTGACCTAAGTCGATAAAAAATAGGTAGCAACGGTTCCTTCGCCAAGCGCTCGGCACGATGAAGTGAAAGTTGCGGGTCCTTCCGATGAGACCATAAAAGCCGAGGCCCCGTGTCACGGCAGCCGTTGACACGGTAAAGATCCCCCACTGCTCAATGGCCCCGAGTGCCGAGTAAAGGTCTAAATTTAAAAAAAAAAATGAATCTTCATTTTTGAGATGGTGAAGCATAGTTAATAATTCTTATCAAACTTTCTCTTTGTGCTATAATATCATTTTTTAGAGATGGCTTTTTATAGTCTTTCTTAAGTAATATTTTGCACACACAATCAACAAGTTTGCAGTAAATAAAAACATTTGGCCCCTTGATCTTCATACAAACTAATTGATATATGTGCATGTATAATATACAAAAATATTCCCATTGTTATCTTTAACATCTAATAATGTAGATACTACAATTACGTGTAACAACAAAATCATGAATATCATACAGAGAAAGATTTAATATTATATCAATAACTCCAAAGATGAACATGTTTAAAAAATTTGTACGTTCAGCAAAGGTGCAGAGACATTTGTGTTACCTGGTATTTCAGAGATTTTTTTTTAATATCAGTCTTAGCATAAATTATGGTAGTTCTTGGTCTTCTGACCAAGAAATATTATTTCAACACAGCATCACTCGATCGGCAATGTCTGACGTGTAGAACTCTTTTCTGACTCCCATATGAGAATATTTTGATAAATATTTCTATGTAGTTTACGTGCTTATTTTCAAAAAATAATTTTTTATTAACATATGCATGCTAGGCCTGTTTTTTTTAATCAAGGAAAATCATTATCAAAACTGATAAAATCCATAAAAATTGGCAGTGGCCTTTTAAACAATCTGTAATCCTAATACAAGAAAGAAGGTAGTACAATTGCAATTTCTAAATATCGACTTACTCATAACAGAACAAAAATTTACAGTGTATAAAATGTGAACAAACATTAAAGAGGGCCAATGAGAGAGAAAAGGAAACTCAGTTGATTCTACTTTCATTCCCTGAAATCAAACCTTCACATATCAATTGGTCTTTTTTAAATGCAATACAAGAGTTGGATTGTAACATTTAGTTTAAAGAATGTTTTATTCTTCAAACTTTGTGAGTGTACATCCTTAATTCTTATCTTTATGTATGAAAAGTATCAGGTCATACATCTGCACTTTTTTAAACTGCAATTTAAAAAGACTTTCAAATTGAATGTAGTTTATGCATATATTGATGTAAATCTGTCTTGATTTTGCCATTAATTAATTCACCACAATTGCAATAGACACTTTAAAAACCATTTCTAAAGACCTGCTATGTTCTTGCTCAAAACACTTTCTCTCGAATGAGAAAAATTTGTCTAGTGTGTAAGTGTTAACATTTTTTTTTGTATTGGTACCTATTTGTTTGTATCAAGTCAGGATTTTTGTCAACTAATGATGTATTATGATATTCGCTTAAACCAACAATTTATCAAATGTCAAGAAATGTGTATATCCATTCATTTCATTTTTCATACACATTTATATGCATAAAAGGAAAATTACTCATGGTGGTATGAAACGTGTTCAACTTTGCATGATCAAAGCAAGCTGACTCGATATTGATTAGAAACATTCGAAGAGAGGATACCTCAATAAATATGAGTGAAATTATTACTGTGAGATCAGTAAGAAAAAAAAAATATGCAGACGTTGTAACACTGGCATCAATACAAATTATGAAATACAAAACAACAAAAAGCAAGACAAAATGAAACAAAAGACCCATGGACCACAATGCTTACCTGGGTCACTTTGGCCCTTCTGTTCTTCATCAGCAGATTTTTTCTGTTCTTCATCAGCAGATATTTTTCCAGTATATTCCTAATTAAAACTTTGGTCGTCCCACCCAACCCTCGGTGCTCAGGGTTTGTGCAAACTTGAATGCTTGAGGATGCTTCCATTTAAATATGACAAATCATGGCTTTGCTTTTCTTGAGAAGATTTTTATAGATTTTTCCTGCCTATTATACTGTGTAACACTTTGATTGCCCCATGCAACCCCAAGGGCCAGGTCAGGATTTGAGCAAACTTGAATCTACACTTTCTGAGGATGCTTCCATATAAATATGAATAATCAAAGTTTTGTTGGTCTTGAGAAAAAAAGATTTTTTTTTTAAAAATTTCTATATATTCCCATGTAAAACTTTGGTTGCCCATGTTGCTCCACCATATTGTTCATGATTAGAACGAACTTGAATCTACACTTTGTCAGAAATCATAGCTTTCACACAAGTTTCATCTTTTCTGGTCCAGTGGCTCTTGTGGTTCTGAAGAAGATGAAAATATGAAAAGTTTTCAATGACGACGACAACAAAGACAACGGGCAAATTTTGATCAGAAAAGCTCTCTTGAGCCCTCGACTAATGACACATTTTTTGAATATTGTAGAATAAGAAAATAAAGGCTGATTATGCATTGTCGGGTATATACATTGTACTGTTGTGCGATTTAGAAGAAAGGAAATATATACTTCATTCCTTGACATAAAATCGAAGGATGCCTGGACCTTAGAAACGCATACAATAATCGCTGGAGGATGTGTTGTATTGCATACCGACCGTTTTGATCGAATATACACGGACAAACTTGCGCTAAAGTGACGTCACAATGAGGCTACAGAGACGTTCATTTATACAATAAAATACTTTCTTTGGTTGTTAGTACGGGAATTAAAGTTGCAGCTGTTGCAGAAAAAATGTAATTTTTTTCTGCAATAGCTGCAACGTTAATTCCCGTACTAACAATTAAAGAAAGACATTTTATTGTCTATAATTATATCTGTGTAAATAAGCATTTAAAGTAGGATTTAGTAGATGAAATAGTGTATTATTGATATGTATGTCATTGTACGCCTGCGTGACATGGAAAACAATATGAAACATGCACTAGTACAATTACACAAGAAAAAAACTCTTTTCTGTTAAAACTTTAAAATGCATTCGCTTTCTCTTTTTTCAAATTACAAATTCATGAAAAAAAACACCGATACATCAAGATAACACTAGTTTGGTAATGGTAAACCAAGCTCCATGTACTCAATATCAACACGCAATATAACAATTACTAGTGTGCATGTATCCCTCGACAAGGTGACGCCATGGCGAAACCAAAGTCACACAAAAATACCTGCACTGACTCAGTCTTGATCACTTTACTACAAACACTACATTGAACTTATTATTTTTATTTTTGTCAGGTTTCTATAACTTAAGGAAGAGAAAAAAAACTTGAAGTGTTTTTTTTTATATTGTGAGTAATGTTAAGCCGACTTTTCCTTCGTATTTTCATTTTTGGGCTTTTCTTCAATGGAAGCTGGTCATGGGTGAGTAAAACAATATCATATGCTTAAGGCAATATGCAATTATAAAGATATTCACACCTACCATGTTTTGTCACTAGTGTAATGGAATACAGTAAAATACACCGGTGTATGAGTTATTCATATATATAGTAACATAACATGCCTAGTATTTTAACCGAACCTCGGAAGATGGGAAAAAAGAAAAGAAAAATGGAGATCAGTGAGGGATGGGGACTAAGAGTTGAATAAGTTAAAGAAATGTTCATCTTGTGTGTGAGGGTGTGTGTGATGTGTGCATGGGGGGACCAATTAGAAGGAGCAATTGAATTATTGCACAAGCATATTCATTAATTTTTGTGAATTGTGCACCTAAAATGATAATAACCATATCACTAGACAGAATAAAATTGGTCATATTCTTTTCCTTAATTTTCAGCTTTCTCAACAACTGGATAAACCGACTTATTCCACAAATATTTCATTAGTATCTTTTCGTTCGCAAAAAAGATAAATAAATAAATATACAAATAAAGAAATGTATATGTAACAATTTGAATTTTGTAACATCTCCCTAGTTATAATTTGCAACATGTCTATATATGAACTGCAGGATGTAATTTCCTATTCCATCAAAAACTAACAATACTTTTACTTCAAATTTCATACAGTGGAATAGCCGAAAAAAATTACCTGAGGCAATATGGAAAACTGCAGATAGTAAAATTGGTTTGAGTACGTGGGCTCTACAAAATAACTGGAGAGGCGACAATGATTACAAAGAAAAGTGGAAGTGCAATCTTTTCGTTTATGATGTACTTCTAGAAGCTGGAGCCCGCCCGGTGAAAAGACGGTAAAACCAAGAACTAAGTACTTTTAAATTATTAAAAAGATTATAACATACTTGAAATCAAATTTATAATAAAATATTATTAAATTAATCGTAAAAAAATATTTTTCTTGTGTTATGTAAACTTTGTATTGAATCTGATGTATTTTAATTAATTAGATGGTGGGGACACACGCCAATTGGTGCAAATGAATGGGCCAACCCAAGTTCTAGATATGTTCTGAGAAACGGATGTTACAGAACAGTATCGGAAAAAAATATGAAAAAGGGTGACATCATCGCATTTGGAAGGGAAGGGAACAGTGGACATATGGGAATTGTATCTAATCCTGGTAATTTCATCAGTGCCGGGAAATATACAGTTACAGACGGCTCGATCAAATCGTTCCGGGCGAGAAACAACATATCCCGAACAACCCTGTGGAGATATGTGTGCTAATGTTTTATATGGACAAAAATATTTAGTAAGAGAATATCTTTGTTCACCGCTGCTTCACTTGTTCTTTAGTAGAAAAATAAATTATCAGTAATCATAAATTTTAATTTTCATTCGTACATGTAACAAAGGTGAATGCTTAACGATCTATATGGTTAATTGGTAAATCAAGTAATTATATGTGTGTAATTCGTCGCTGGGTGGTGCATTTATTTTTGTCTGTTAGCAAAACAAGTCTCACACTTCACAATTGCATTAATGAAATTCCATGACAACAGATCAAGAAACTCGACTAAAAATATTATATGGAGATCAAAATCAAACTGTTCACAGTGTGTCTGGCAGTCTGGGTCGGATTAAATCTGTTCCATTGAGGTTTGCAAGCCAACTCTTAGAAGTTAAGGAAGCTCTAAACACTAACAAAAAGTGCTTTTTAGACTTGAACAAAAATATGTCATATAAAGCCATTATAAAGGTATGCATATTGAAACTATTTACTAATAGTTCATTTTCAACATAGGATATCCGCCTTATTTCTGCAGGAAAAATGTTCAAATTCAATGGACAATTCATGAACAGAAATCACGGTTGTTTACTTACATTGGGAAAATTAATGGAAACAATGAATTCAATTACTTAATCTTGGTCTAATATAATGCTGAGAATATTTTAATTTTTTACAAATTGTGTAATTAATTGTAAATAACCATTTTTTTTTCTATCTTACTTCTAAGGGCAGATTACTCTAACAGCATAAAACTACCCTACAAGTAGAACTCTTTAGTGTGCGGTGCTTAGAGCTTCCTTAAAATCTACAACAAGTACTATCCAGTTACAATTTTACTTGCAATATCAAATGATCACATTCAAAATTCTACATGTATGTACGTGCCACATAAATTATGAATACACAGACTTTGCCACATAAGATTTTGTAAGCTTAAATCTCATTGGTCTGTGTTGCTGGTCTAGGTCTGAATTTGTCATTTACAAACTGTTGAAGAACTATATCCTTATAGGAATCCCAGTTAATACGAGTCATTAGATTTAGTTGTAATTCCTCATCTGTTGGATACGGGGAAATCTACATGTCAGAAAATAAAAAGTTATTTACAAGTTCACATATTTAATTTAATAATTTATATACATACATAAAGTATGAAGCAAGAGGAGTTTGCGAAAAATCATATAAAATATACCTCACTGCGTAGCCTCTCTCTGGCATTGAAATCGCGCTTAGAAAGGAACAATGAACGACTGATCTGGACAACCTCAGCCCCGTTACGTTACTGATAACCACAAAGCTTGGCTGTGGCTGTTTTTCCCTTTCAAATGTCACATACTGGAGACCCTATTTAATGAACATTTACATAATTATTAACATTTTATACCTGGGAAGAGAGTACGGACAAAACATGTACAAACTAGATAATTAAATTTCAGAAAAAATGACAAGGATATTAAGAATTTTCCAGCCAACAACATGACGGAGTGCATGTAATATTCATATTTAATTGCATTAACAGAATTAAGACTTTATACCATCGATTCAAGAAAAAGCATACAAATATTTGATCTTTTGTGAGAGTTTGCACATGGACCCACTCTGGCTCCTTGTCCGTCTCTGGTAATGGCACAAAGTGTTCCTGGAAGGGTACAATTTAGATGGATTTTTATGACGGGTTGTGATACTTACGTAGCACAAATTTCAAAAGTTAAGTTAAATTCATAAATTCTTCTAAGAAAGATACTCACTCCAATTTGCAAATCTTTAATATACTTTCAATCTATAGGTTCTGTATAAAAATATAGCATCATTTTGAAAAACTCACCTAGTAAATATATATAATCTCTCATTTAACAACTGTACGCTATTCACATCATTAATATCCATCATCAAATTTGCATTATGCTACAAATATGAATAATAGTCAAAAAAGCTCACAAAACAGTAATCATTGTAGATCAAGAGAGTAATTTTTTTTCGTTGCAATTACGTATTTTGTATATGATAATTTAATAATTAGTTTCCACATAATGAATTTAATTCAAGAATAATTCAAGAACAAGAATTTCCATCATTTGGCCGATTTTAGATTATGGATAGTTATTGCAATGGCCATATCAATTGTCATCATAATGGAAATTCAATCTGTCATTAAACTGGCTGCAGTTGAATAATGTGGTATGAAAAACAAAATGTCATTCCCCCTTTCTTGTTGCTCTTTTTACAAAGCTTGCAAGGTACACACGTAACAGCAAGGCAAAAAAGATAGAACACTAAAGTTTGATTACTTCTATCAATGGATTAATTTTTACTTTGCGAATCCTCTCATCTTCTGACTAACTTAAGGTTTCACTTAAATATTCATAATAAATATTATAATAATAATACAAAACGGACTGGAAGTAAAGAAACATATTTTTATCCATTTTTTTCTATTTGATATCAGTTTTAAATGATGGTATATACTTCAGTTCAAATTGTAGCCCTTCATTTGAAAAAAAAAACTGGAATCCCCTTTTCCCTAAGGATACTTTGTGGCAAGTTTGGTTGAAATTGGCCCAGTGGTTCTTGAGAAGAAGATGAAAATGTGAATTTTACAATGACAACAAAGACGACAGACAGACAACAGACAAATTTCGATCAGAATAACTCACTTGAGCCTTCGGCTCAGTTGAGCTTAATACAAGGCTCAGATGGAAGGGTATCCCTTCCAGATCCTGTTTTGCACCCCCCCCCCCACTACCACCTTCAATTTCCTTCCATGGGGGCATAATAATGAAAACAAGCATATTTGAGAATTTCCGTGTATAAACTCTGTGAATTCAAGAAATTATATTTCATTGATTTCAAGCAGCCGCAAATAAGTCAAAGAGTACCAGGAAGTAGTTTAAGGACATAACCCTCTGGCCAGAATCCCTTGCAACAAGTATATTCCTCTAGATCTGCAATCTCTACATAATAAGCTTTACAATTCTGAAACAGAGTCTTAGAAACTCTTGGCACCAAGATCATAAACTGAGAATAGACTTAAGTCAAACTTTTGAGTCCCTTGATCTTTATTTCACTTGTATGTTTAAATATTGCAGGTTTGTTTAAGGGCATACGCAATGTACCTTACCTACTTATAATTTTTTAAGATATTACAGAGCCATCAAGTCAAAGGCTACCGTGTGCCAAGTTTAAACTTCCATTGTCCTAATGTTCCTGGAGGAGAATATATTATTATTTCCCCTATTAAGGGAACAGTCTTTCTACAGAACAACTGCAAACTGCCCTTTTAAAGTAGAGATGTTTTCTTTGAGAGAACCTAAAGTAGACCAATGCAATTTACCTATGTATAATTCATTCATATGAACTTGAACTGTCTTTCGCAACTCATTGACTTCTGACTTCTTAGGAGTATAATATTCTGTCATGAAATATAGATTATAATAAGCAAAACCTATGATAAATCTTTATTTTGTGATTCTCATTTCATTACGAATAAAAGTAAATACATTTATTATCGAATGTACAAAAATGTTTGATTTACACAAATGCCCTGAAACTGGTCATTTCTAATAAAAGAGTCAGAGAGACATTTAATAGAAGGTTTTCAAACAAATAATGAATAATAAGTAAGTTACAAGGGTATCACATAGCCGAACATCACAAGAAAGCCCATCAGTCACAATATAAATTATAACTTCTCTCATCCACAAACTCACTCACCCACTTTCTCACTCACAGATGAATTACTATATCCCCTCCTCCAACTTTGTTGCAAGGGGATAAATAGACATAACATACCACATATGTGGATGAAACATGCCAGGTGTCATACCCTTAAATGTATAAATGTACCTAATTGAGTTACCAAGTCAATCTAATGTAATGATTATGCTGAAAAAAATATAAGAATTTCAATCGAACAACTCAGTGCCTTTTAATAATTCAACTAATTCTTACATACTGTTAAAAATCATTTAACAACAGAGAACATGCATTTTAACTGTTAATTTAAGGTATTCAATGTATAACGATCGTACTTTTAACCTAATAAATGAATGGTCTGATATTTTTAATCAAGGTGGCATTTTGAAGGTGTTATTAGCTAAAAATAAGGAATGTACAAAATTTTTATTATTGTCCAATTAATTACACCTTGAATTTTACATTGACGTCTATGGGCTGCACACGTTTTCAAGAATCATATGGGACCGCTGGATCACTAGTAAGGTAATATAACCAATGATCTACCATGCAAGGCTGATAGCCATGGTTCAAATATACCAATTAAACTATAATAAATGATTCAAATCAGAAGAATTGAAGTCATTTACCTGATTTCTTTTATGTGACTGAACTTAATCACAATTGGATTTTCCTTCTACACACTTATTTATAGAATGTTCTTCCAAATTGTCTCCTGATCCAGGTCTATTTAAATTTGAGGATATTGTAACTTTTTTTCATAAAAATAGGTGAGTTAAGATTTTGATAAAGAAAAATTAAAAAGCTTTTATATATTCTGGATGTTCTAAAACATTGTCAAATGTCTTTGTTACAAAAGCTATTAAATTTTTGAAGTTTAAAGATTGTGTAAGAAAAGACTGATTTTCAGACAGGAAAAAAATTCTTTGATCTTCGATATGGGAAAAAAAAACAAGTGGGTCATAAAGTACAGGAACACAAAGTTACATGAAAGTTTGCTGTTTACAATCAAAGAAATAAACTTGACTTAAAACACTATTTTAACCATAACTAGAAAATTTGATATAAAAATTTTATGCTTTTATAAACTTTATTTTGGATCATTAAAACAATTGACAAATTTAGCAATGTGAATACAAAGGCTTACTTACCTTGAATACAAAATCGGCTAAAATTTGATTGTATACCCTCACGATCAAGAAATTCTCGACCTCTCCCTATTCCAACACCGTCGGCAGTATTACTACGGTAAAATTTGGCAAACCCATACTTTAAAATTGCTTACTCTACAAATATAAATCAATTGCCATTAAATTAGTTTCCAAGAAGACCTCCCAGAAAGTTAAAAAAAAAGGGGTTTTTTTGTCCCAGGACTGCAAAATCCTGATACTCTTAACTTTCATTTTAAAGAATTAAAAGAATGGATAATAGAAAACAAATTCCTTAAAACAGAATGTGGTAATTATTTGATTTAATTGACAATATGACAGTTTACATAATAATTTATCAATATTGAAGAAAAATTAGGTACGTGTGTATATAAGGGCTTATTTCCAATAAGAAGTATATGGAAGTAAAGAGTTCTTGCATCAAGAAAAAAATTATTCATTTCTTTTAGCCATCTTGAAATACACTTATTATAAGAATTTTGGTGCTGCTTGATACTTGCACGTTTTTTATATAAAATATCACAATTGCTGGCCATTTTAAAAGGAAAGAAAGAACTAGGCTTTTTTGGTGATTTTATACCCAAATAATGCTTACCTAATTACATACTTGCATTTATGAATACAAGTATAATATTTGGTAATGCTTATTAATCTGTTTACATTATTTGTGATAAAACAAACTTTAATTAGACAATTAAAACAGTGAATCATTTTAATTGGAGGAGGGAGTCAATGTTTATAAACAACCAAAACCAAACTGGATTTTGGGACCTATAATGATGTTATATTTCCTGAAGATTCATTGTATTATTTTTTGACAGATTTCTTTTTTTTTGGATATGTTAATTAATTGGAGAGTAAGGGTTAATTTATGAATATTAGTTTTTTTTATAAACAATGATGATTCCACACTGAAGATGCATCCTTAGATAGGTTACGTTAACATGAAAAATGGTCAAACAATCTTATTTCTTTAAAAATATATATATAAATACTAAAGTCTATATTATTTACAGTCCATTCCAGTTGCTTCAAGAGGGTTCTTATGGTCTTCTATTGGCTGAACCACTCATCTGCTACACCATTACATGTACCTCCCTCTTCTGCCATATTTCTCGCCATCTTTCTTTCTCCTCTCAAATCAGCCTCCCGCACTATTTTCCATACTGATGGATTGAAGCCAGGATGATCTGCACATTTGTGTACTTCTCAACAACAATGGAATATACATGTAATCTTAAATAATTTTCTTACTAAATCAAAGAAACTTCATTTCTAAGATGAGATACATGTATGTCATTTGTAAAGGCCCTAAACATTTCATGTTTTCAAAAAATGTCGAAATTGGTTTAAATATGAGTTGTGTATATGAATCGGATAAATCATGAAAAAATATGGCAATAAGTGGACCATTCCAGAAATATGACGTCATTAATTTAAGATGTAAGCAGAAAAAGCCTCAAAATAACTCATTCCTGTGGTTATTTTCCCTCAGAAAATACAGTGTAGTGTCGTCCACAGCAGTCGCCAACTTTTATTTTCATATGTTGCGTAAAATCCTTTGAAAAATCAAATTTCTCAAAATCTTTGTGGGCGATACATGTGCTCTATATTATCTGAAAGAAAATTCCACAGGAAATTGATGTCCTCTGCAACTTTTTAAAGAAAATGCTGGAAAATGCATAAGTTCATGGCTTCATTATTAGAATTTGGGAGGATATATGAGAAATTCTTACTGCATGGAATTTCAACGATTCAGAAAGTTTGAGTTTTAATTTCTTACACTTGCATACAGGGCCTGATCTGTATTGAAAACATTCCTTTTTCTTTACAGATACATTACGAAACTTGCTCTATCTTTCTTGAGAAGATGATTTTAAAACAATTTTCCTTGTAAAAATTCCAAAATTTAACTTTGATTCCCTATATGTAGCACCATCCTACTCCAGGGTGGAATAATTTTAACTAGCTTGAATCTGCACTACCTGAGAATTTAAATATTGCAGCTTAATATCACTTATCATTGTCCTGCTGTTCTTAAAAAGATTTTAGAATATTGTTTTATATACATGTATTCCAATTTTAAAGTTAAACTTTCCCACTGTACCCCGGGACCATGATTTAAACACATTTGAATCTGCACTATTGTGGCCCATGGGCAGCCACCCCTATCCAACATCCAGGAGACCATGAGTTGAACAAATATGAATCTAGACTTTCTCGGAAGTTAAGTTTTATCTTTTGTGGCACAGTGATTCCAGATGAAATGATTTTGAAATAATCACACAAAACAAAACTTTAACTATTTATTAATTATATATCCCCTCTAGAAGAGGGCGTGGTCCTTCGAATTCATTTAAACAAACTTAACCTTCACTTAAGGATACTTTTTGGCAAGTTTCGTTGAAATTGGTCCAGTGGTTCTTGAGAAGAAAGTGCAATTGTGAGAAGTTTATGACAACAATGACAATAAACACAACAGCCTACAGAGAAATTTCGATCAGAAAATCACACTCAAGCCTTTGGCTTTGGCTTAGGTAAGCTACACATGTAAAAAGTCGTTTAATGCTATTTACTTCTTTTATAAACAATATGGATGAACCTAGATTTTTTAATCAATCTGAGGAAATTTCATACATGTATCATGATTATTAATTTAAAAACAAATTAAATGGATAAAGAAAATACCTTTACTTGAACTTCTGTAAAATTTATTTTCACTGCCAATTCCTGACGACCACTTAACCAGACTTTTCCTTTCCTCATGCCCTGTTCATAGGCCTCTTCCAGCATTTTCACATGTTCTGATGTAAATTCTGTTCTCTTTTGCTAAAACATTGAAAATGATAAAGATAATCTTTTATGAAAATAAGTGCAAGCATTAATTATTAAATAAAAATTTTCTTTTCTAGCAATTGATAAATAAACTATATTGGAATGTAACCCTTTATTGTGGTATTAATTTAACACTTATTTTAAATAATCCTCGATCCCCTCTCTGAACCTAAAACTGCATTATATTGGAATGCTTGAAATAAAAACTTACTGCTTGTAGAACAGCTGTCCCTTTATTTATCAAGATGTGTTCCCATATTTCCCAGTTAAGTTAAACCATACACCTATTGCAAAAGCAGATAGGCAAACGCAGATGATTGGATAAGCATTTAATTCGATCAACATTATTTAATGATTCTGGTATATATATGTAGGATGGTTGATGAATTGAGCTTGTGATTGAATCATTCATGAACAGTGGGAAGACATTCCATGACCCCCCCTTTTTTTTCAATATATCTAATGACCATATGAACATGATAAACCCGGGGTTGGGATGGGGGTTTTGCCCCCTTCCAAGTAATTTTGTCAACATATAACAACTATAGAAAATACTACACATGTGCCCCCTGATAACCTTTTTCTGCTTGGCAGCGCATACCCCAACTGAAAATGTTTGTGACCCCCTCCCCTTCTGAAATTACTTCCTATGGGCCTATAGAGTATAAGATTCCTTTAAATTTATATGAATATCAAATGCAAAAGTGTTAATTTATTGTTGTATTTATGGGCTTATGTATAAATACTGATGCATTTGCAAATCATAAAATAAGCTATAGAAAATGAAATAACCCCCTCATCACCCTAACCCCCTTAACCAGTTTAACTAACCACATGATTCTTAAAATAAAGCAAAACAAATGTTTACACTTACCTTTTCCATTGTAAGTCTAAAACAATGACCTTTGTAAAGCGCACTGTGCGATATAAAACGGCGAAAGTGATGAGGGTGTACTAATTAATCAACACCGGTTTATATCCAGATATCTGGCCTCGTCCCATATATGTACATGTATAAACATGTATTTGTTAAACCTTTATGCTACGTTCCCACTATCACGATTGGCGCCACGATTGAAATCGGGGATTCAAAAGTGGACAAATCGTAGTGATCGTATCAAACCGTAACAAATCTTGTGTTCACTCGTGGCTATCGTGTTGATCGTGAAATTTTTTTGACTGTCGTTATCATCGCATCAGACCGTATTGCATCGTAACTAACCTCAACTGCATCGTAAGTAAGCGCATCTAATCTGGCTTTCATATTGTGATCATCCGGATCGACCTTGGATGTCTTACGTTCAGTCACTGTCTGTGACACTTTGCGTGGTCCTACTACTCACGAGTTGACACGAATTATTTCCGATCAGATACGATTTAAAAGGGACAGATGAGAGTAAACGCGATTAGATACAAGTGCTAACGCTTTGTCACGGACGATTACGCTATCTTACGAGTTCTTAAACTCACTTAAATAACGGACAAAATTTAACGCGTTTCATTCACCGATCGGAACAAGATATCAGTTTTGCAAAATATTTTGAAGATGCCACCCAAGGGAAACAGGGGCAAAAAGAGAAAAAGGCGAGCGATCCCATCTCCTGCTGAACATGAACCCGTTCAATCAGCTCTTTTAACCCTTATTTGATGGGGTTGTACATGGTCTATCTGTTTCTCTTCTTCTTCTTCCTCTTCTTCGATAGCAATGAACATAGTAGCACTGCAAACACCACGTTGTTATTAACCTCAACTTCTGATCGTGAAAGACATGGCAATTAACGTGTTGTTCTATCGCAAAGTAGCGCAACGGGGCGTGATGAACGTATTATATCGTAAGAGTACGTATTTAAACGTAGAAGATCGTTTCAAATCGGGGACTCGGATCGTCATATTTGTAACAGATCGAGGTTCTTTTTTCAACGAAATCTTGATAATCCTATTGAAACGTAATTCGTCTTATCTGAACGGGTAGTCAGATCGTCAGAGATCGCGTCACATGAAACTTATCCATCGTGACCATACCGCATTAAAGTGCAACGAATTTCAATAAAAACTCTGCTATCAGCTACGAATGATCAATCGTGGCTTTTGTAACAGACCGCAATACATTGGGAACGTAGCATTAAACAGTGTTTCCTATATACATCTACAATAAAAAAAGTCTAACATTTCCAGTGTTTTACTGAGCGGTCAAACAAAATCAATGTTTGACTGCAGAATGAGATATTGGACCAGTCGACGAGATGTTGGACCGCTACGTCACACTGCTGGTGGGACCGCAGTGCAGGTAAAAAAAAAACTTACATCATGGAAGCCAGCATAAGATACATGTATGTAAATAAGAAGGGATAGCAACACATAATGATTTATTGACTGTGTTCTCGGGCAAAATGCGTTTTGTCGATCCTCGATCCAAACTGTTGGTCTTTGGCCTAACGGCCTCACGCCTCAGACAAACAACTTGGTTCTTGGCTCTGACAAAACAACTTCCCCTCGCACATAGTCTATAAATATATAATGTTAATTGTTATAATTAAAGCCAGCGCAGCGAGCGTTGCGATGTGCCGATCGCAATTAGAGCTGAAACGAAAACGCCTGGGCGAAGAGAAAATTCGGACTTTGCACATTGATCCAAATGAATTTTTATTTTCTGCAGATACCTCAAGACCCAGAGTGCAACGCTTGTGGATTTCGCTGCTAACTTCGTTCTCGCGGTAAAAACAACTAAAAATTCACAAAAAAAACTCCCCTTGATTTAATGGATATTGCATACAGATAGATTACTTTGTTAAAATAGTTTGGAAATGCAGCTAACATACGACGTCATGTGAAATCACAGTCTAGACGTTCCAAATGTCTCGTGCGGTTTGAAGATTTGGATTAAAATCAGTAAACATCTGCGCTCGACCCAACGGTCGCACCGTCAGCATATTAATTCTAAAACAATAATGATATGAATAATAGCGAGCGCAGCGAAAGAAATACCGAAAAACATTTGGATCAATGTACAAAAATACCAAAATACATTTAGGTCATTGTGCAAAGTCCGAATTTTCTCTTCACCCAGGCGTTGTCGTTACATCTCGCATTGCGGACCTTGCACATTGATCCAAATGATTTTTTTCCGCAGTAAGTGGACCAATAATGCTTTGCAAATTGTATCTCGCCGAAAACAACGTTCTTGCGGTAGCAATAAAAGTTCAACAAAAAATAAAATCACATTGAATTTTAAATGGACATTGCAAAAAAAACAAACAAACAAACAAACAAAAAAAAAACAAAACAAAACAAAACAAAAAAAACACACACAAAGAGCAAATTTAAAAATGAGTGGGTTTAAAATTTCAATTCTAGTGTTTAAATATTACAGTGAATGAATAGATATTGTTTACGTTTCATTTTCCATAAACAGATCAGTACGATATTTTTCCGCCAGTGGTTAACATGCACATAACATTTCATGGCGTAAGTCGACTTTTCCGCTCGGCGATCAGAGTATTACCGCTGTTTACGGAGAAATTAGAAACAAGCATGCCATAGATTAATTATCGTAGAAGAGAATGGTAATAAACAGTTTGCCAGTGCATTTCCTTTGAAAGTGTAAATGAGCGTGATTCAGGGGAGGGGGGCTCTATGTAATTCGGAGTTGGATACATTGTGTTATTATTATACTATGGGTTAATAAGTTATTACCGAAACAAGTGCATCTCGATGACGGTGCCTCCTTAGTTCGTCCCGCCCAGATGATTTTGCCCGTTTCTAGCGACAATCCATCCGCCCAACTTCCCACGGTGGAATACTGGTAGGACTGTGATATTTCATTCCATTGAAAATTCATGATGTCGTATCTTCCCCTTGCATCACCCTTTTCATCAAATTTCACAACAGCACCATAACCGTCTGAAAAAGAAAATAACTTTATTTATATAAAATACATGAATTATTACTGCTTCTGGAATTTAATAATTTGATGAATGCAACACACTTAATTATATTTTTTTCTAAATAGGAACTATTTACTCACCTTAATGTCGAAAAACATAGCATACATGTAAAGAATATAATGAGAATTTTAATATTAGCTTCTAATACTTATGACTTCCTTATCAGAAGAAATGGATAGGAAAATCGATTTTTAGAAAATAACAGTCGTGGTCAAATTGGCCAGAAGTGAGAGATAGAAATCTAAGTAAATTAAAGGCTTTGGACATTTGGGTCGGTCTTGAGAGCCAAGTACCTATGGGAATAGTAGGTGGAAGCATTGGCAATCCGCGGCTGACTCCGCTGCGCTCCATACAAACCTCAGATGTGATTGGTGGATGAATATGCATCGAATCGATAAATTTCTCCGCCAGAACTTGCCTTTTCACTCATTTCATAATTCGCACTGCATAAAGGTCACCAAAAAAGTTTTTCTAACTTGTGTAATTCCTTCTTGTATATTGGTTTTGATTACAAACTTATGTTAGTATTCTTTAAAAGCAGAAACATAGAGTTGGACGTGCCACAAAGTAACTCGGATTTCAAAGTGATAATATTTGAAGGAATTTCGAATTGGATCAGCAAAATGGTAGAACACCGTTCACATCCGAGGTTAGTGTGCGAGGCACGAGCCACCCGAGGAGCTCTAAGTGAGGTGGAAGTCGCCTGGTTAATTATTGCAATTGAAATCGATAACAAACGTCGTAGAAGTTGGCTGCCTATCTAAACGACCTTGATTACACTTTCAATATATCATCATTGTACAGCGAATGTGGACTAAAAAGCAAGAAAGATATTTCCTTTGTTTATTGATCTGAAATGGTTGACGTTTCAAGCGGTACATATTCCATCTATTCACATGCATTGCAAATATAATTTTTTTCAATTTCTTTTCATTTAGTAAGTAGGGAAGAGTTAAACATCCTTTCAAATACATCAGAATGCGAACGTTTTTGGGGGGCAGATAAAACATTGCAAAATCTAAGGAAAATGGCACAGAAGAGTTACCATTGCAGATCTGACGTTCATATCGTCATATTTGAAGTGTGTACATTAATTTTATACTTAAACCAGGAGAAATGAAATCCAATCTATGTACAAAGAAATAATCCTTATTTCTGGAAAATTATTTACAGATAAGCAGATAACTTTATTAACCTTATTTGTGTGCCCATACATGTAGTAAAACGTCAACATTTTTATCGCGCTTGGTAATTTAAAAAAAGAAATATAGAATAAAATGAAAGACATCGGTTATAAGAACTCTGAAAAAATATGTATATTGTGATAAAAAATTCATTTTTTACATTTTTTACCATTTTGTTTCCATTTACACGCCAAGAAGGTCTTAATAGATACGATGTTGATCCTATAAGATACATTTTCATATTGGCAGAACAAAATATAAGCAAATGAACAAACAAAAATAAGGAAAAGGCGCAGTCATTATTAAAAAAATAGACAATTGTAACCTGCCTGCCCGAAGGAACAGTACATATATATATATTTATAATACAAGTGTTCTTTATTGATTCAACCGGAACTAGAAGCTTTTAGCACCTGTACTTATACTGTCTGACCTCTAATTGACCAAGGTAAGAAGTTAAATATTTTAACTCATTATGAATAAAAGCATTATCGTAAATATGAAAACGTCAAGGGTGTGTCATCAGACTTTTTTCCCTTTCCTGCAAGATTAACGTGCTTTTGCTTCTAGCATCAAGCTATAAGAAAAAAAAATCGTGCATCCAACTATTTTAACAGGAAGTTTCATTATCACCTAATCGACAGAACAGAAAAACCCATTTCCTACTATGTCAAATAAGGAGTCATTTTAGAAATTAACAGACTTTCTATCATATTGTGAAGCCGAGCGCACTACACTGATTTTGTAGAATATAACGCGATTAGATCTCGAAAGAGATATATTATTTTATCTTTAAGAGATATATGCTTTAGATGGCATACAGGACTAGCAGCAAAATTCGGATGAAGACTGTCGCGATGTCGCATTAGTGACATTGAACTTCCGTATCGTAAGGAACTGTATTATGGAAAAATAAAGCTTACCTTTACTTATTCTAGAGCCACTTTTGTTACTCACCGTCAAAAGCTGTATTGAGAATATAATCTCTCAAAACCTTCCCATTAATTTGACGCATTTCATCACATAAGTCTTCCGTTTTACAGGTCGCCTTCAGCATTGCGTCAATGGCTAAAGCAATAGCATACACCGCGTCATGAATAAATTGCACTTTTGTTTCTTGTTTAAATGTTGCAGAAGACAGTCTTTCGCTTCCATTGCACTTTGGTCTATCAAACTGCTCCTTATTTTCGTCTGAAAAAGAGCAATTATGAACAGTTTCCCAGAATTCTGGAAACCAAGGATTTCTTTTGTTGTTCGCAGGGGTTAAAGACATGAAATATTTATCAAAAGAAGGAATTAATGTAGATTGCAACTCAATCGTCAATGCCCCTTCGGCAACCTCGGCATTTTGCAGGACAGGTTTTTCTTGTGTACCCCATGCGTCACTAGCTATCCAAATAAACCTCGAGGCTACTCCTTTTCGTGTCGCAGCGTTCAGTAAGTTCGTTACGTCCTCGATTCGCAAAAACAGCACCACGATTCTAGCGTTCTCTTTTGCTTTTAATTTCATAATAGCGTCATCAAACGTTGATGAATTTGAATTGGACATTATTTTTATAGATTCCGCAATGCAAACATTTCGTGCCCTTGCCTTTTCTTTGAATTCGTCAATACCAGACTGACCATAGCCTCCTTCTGATGCAACTGTGGACACGTAAGTCCACTTGAAATACTTTACAATATCCATAATAGCTTGAGCTTGAAAATTATCGGGTGGAACTGTTCGTGAAAAATAGTCATACCTAGCTTTATCACTCAAATCTGCGCTTGTAGAGGCATAGCTAATTTGTGGAAGCTTAAAGAGTCTCAGAAGATTTGCTACTTGAATCGAAACGCTACTGTACGATCCACCTATAACTCCAGCTATATTTTCATACGTCACATTTGCCCTCGCTTTAGAGCCATCATCACAGGAAAAGTTGGACGAATCTATAGAAGTAAAGGATCCACGAATAAACTCTAAAGATCGTTCTAAAGCAAATGTTCCCCGTGCGCATGTGTCGTAGATTTTGGCGCCTAATTTAATATTCGGGAGTATTCCAGGATTTTCGTTTATACTATCAATTGTGTGCAACATTGCCTCTGATCTCTGAACTCCTCGGTCAAGATTAATTTCCCCACATGCTCTCGGATCTCCGGAACTCTTCTGGTGTATAGGAAACAGTCCACCAATAATTATGTCCCCTGGAATATAAGCCGATAATGCCTGATTCTCAGCACGAACTCGCAATAAAAGCACACAAAATTTCACAATTATCTTTTCCACCACAAATGTCCACATAGGGAAATTCAAGCTCATCATTTTTCAGAAGTAAATTCTACCTCAGTATCCATTTTTCCGGGTAAGTAAAGATATTACTTATATCGCTAATGCCCACCATCTCCCAGGACTGTTGGCGAGCGAGTAAATCAATTCCTGCAGTAGTGCAGTTTTTCTCTATTGGTAATCCTTTTACTCATTAGCCGAGGCTGCTTCGGGTTATTTTGGCCCACTTCATAATGTAGAGGACCTATAAATCAAAAAAGGATTCCGTTGTATATAAGAAGCCATGTAAGATAGGAAACATTCTCCTAATACGAAGGAAGAAAACGTTGATAAATAAACTAATTGCTAAGGAGTCTCCAAAAAACCCGAGACCTGCCGAACGAATCGTTCTGTGATGTCTTATGAAACTGATGCATAGGGGCTTTCTGAAAGTATCTACTACAACGATCAGTAAATATAGAAATTATCTCACAATAACTTTGATTTGCTTGATAAATTTCATATAATATACAATTATTGCTGTTTTAAAGGTCAATACGATGATTTAGTCACCTGAGGAGTACAATATTCATCGAGCGAGAAGGGTGATGTGAATATTGTACTTTGAAGGAAAATCTACTTTAGTTGCTATGAGAAAAATAAATAATGTTAGGTTTCTTTATAAGATAGATTTTGAAAAGGGAGGTATAACCAGGGAAAAATGACAGCTAAAAAAATTGGATTAGCCACCACGAAAAGAGAATAATCTTAACTTAAAATTTTGTTTTTGGTTTGGGGTAGGGGGGGGGGGTTAAGGTACATTAGTGGGGGACCAGCCTTTCAATGAATATATTTAGTCTAAATTAAAATTAAGAATTTACGTTCAGAAATAAGTGTTGGGGGAGGGTCCCCTGCACCCCCTAACTACCCCCCACCCCAAATTATATATTCCCTAATGCTATGTTCACCTGAAGTGGAAGTCGATAGCAAATGAAATAACTTTCCAAACCTATTTGCATCAATTTTGAATTCGATCTATTTTTAGAGCAATATAGAGAAAATAAATCCTAATCTTATCCTGGAAGGTCAGGTGAATACAACATAGTATTTTTTTTCTACATCGTTGGATCTCAGCCAATTAGAGAGATATGAATTATTCAATCATTTAATAAAATAATATTGCTTTTCAATGATTTTTTTTATACAAATGTTTATATACATTGTATTTTGTATGTGTGTTGTCACGGGGTAAACAAACAAAACATCCTGAAAGATCCTGGAGTATTCCATATTTTTGCATGATTGCAGTACACTGTTACCGGTACGTGAAATTTATAAGTATATGTTAAACGATTTTATTTTTGTAGGTTTAAAATCATGAAATCAGAATTGATTGGGAAAAAAACGCAAAGAAGTAGGATTCTTTTAATTGGTTAATTTAATCTAGTGGTGTCATTTTATTTATTACTTCACAGCTGAAAAATATGCACAAGCTATTTTGGATTACTGGACTTTGATTCTGAAAACTGGAATACGATTATTTTCTTGAAAAGAAATAAGCATGTGTAATGTATTAGAATAATATTATTCGACATGTTCTTTCCTTTAAAATTCTAAAGAAAAAAGAGAAACTTATCGAAATATAGGAAAGGACCATGTTGTCTACTTACAATAGTTTCAGATTTAATTATCAGATTCCAACACAAGGTATCCAGTTTTAACACATTTTTAAATAATACAACGTCCTCTCTGATACGCGGTTTCGTATAAGTGAGGCAAGGAGATAAGAAAGTTTCCTTTTCAGAGGCCACTAAACAACGGCTAATTATTACTGATGTGCGAGATTTCAATGAGATGCACGTCTCAATCAGGGAATGATTTGTAAATGTATGATGCTACAAGAATGGTCTATTGATATCGTATAGGAAGGTGTGATATACATGTATTATGTTTTAATAGAATTGTGTATGTGTGTGAAACATATTTTTGTGTATAGGTGAATGTATCACATATTTTTTAAAATCATTTGCATTTCAATTTAAAGTTTAATCCATAAAGATGGGAAAACTTTACGATAAACTTTTTAAAGAAAAGTGATCTTGTTAGATATAATATTGATATCTAATATTTAATAAGATTTACGCTATGAAATTTCGATAGATCCTTCAGATTGTGGGAATATTAAATTAGATAGAATGATGATAGTCACTCATCTGTCGACATGTTAAGCAGCTGTTGTAAAACACACTGAATTTCAAACATTCTTACTTTCATTAAAGATAAGATATATTCTATACACTTTTAATAATTTTCACACACCTTTTACACGTATGTTTTGACGCTGTTTACGGAGAATAAAGACAAGCATGCCATATATTGTTGTGTTGATAAATTATCGTAGAAGACAATGGTAATAAACAGTTTGCCAGTACATTTCCACTGAAAGTGTAAGAGTGCGATTCTGGGGGAGGGTTACTCCATGTAATTCGGAGTTGGATACCTTGTGTTATTATCATACTATGCGTTAAAAGATTTATTACAGAAACAAGTGCCTGTGGTTGAAAGTATTCGACTAAAGTGTGTGTATATTTCATTCAGAATGTTTCAAGTACGTATTGGAATGAGTTCATTTTGCAAAACTATCCAGAAGCCACATTGAAGAATTCTGTTGAAAACAATATGCCATGCACACATACATCAGATCTCCTTTAAAATTCAAACTATAAAGCGTGCATTTTATCTTTTGGAAGAGTTTTGTGTAGCTGTATAATAGATACACTGGTGATATATATGATTGTTTTAAGTCACCAGTAGTATGCACAGGTACTTGGGGTATGGACCCCCCCCCCTTTCCCTTTTTTTCTTTTTAAATATATTGTTTTCGACTGATACATAAAAAGAGAGTCAGTCGAAAACAATATATTTATAAACAGCTTATAGAGACAAATTGGTAAGGTTATCGATAACATATAGTGCATATTAGAATACAATAATAGGAAAAAGGTGACTACCCCCGATTTAAAAAGAAAAAAAAATGGAAAAAGGGGGAGGGGAGAAGTCCATACCCCAAATGCCTATGGGGAAAGCTAAAGTCAATTCAGACTGATTAATATATATTAGAGTATAAAAAATGTAATGATACAAAATAATTAACCCGACGGGTATAAAGATGGTAAAAGATTTATCAACAACACGGGGATTCAAACATAGTCTGAAATTCGTCCGATTGTCAAAAACATATTTATTAAAAACATTATTTCATTTTCATCCATAAAAATATACACAGATTTATGGTTTATCAAACATATTCGGTATAGCTATGGCATTATAGAGAGCCATTATACATTAACTAAACATAGATAAAGGCAATGAAATTGGATACTGTAAATTTCTCCGAATTTTTGACGGACAGAAAAAAAAGTGTTCACCAGGGAATCCTCTTTTAATACTTTAGAAAAGAACTTACTCCAGCTGTTGGCGGACACAAAAATTAAACATAAATTAAACATTAAAGAATCGTTATATTCTAGCCATTGTAGCAACGTCCCATTATGACTCTGCACCAGCAGTCTCAAGACCATAATCTGAGAACAAACTTGAATCAACTTAGTATAACTTTTGAAATAATACAGAAAGCAAAATCTTCACCATGTGTTTGTGTATATTTGATACAAATTTGCAACGTTTTAAAAAAAAATAAGTCTACTCTCACTTCATGGTCCTGATGTTAGGTTCTTTCTACCAGTGCATGAAAACGTTAACTATTTAGTTTTTCTTTTCATACCCCTGCCATAAGATTACATGTAAGTATATTGTGTTTGTCAGGTTCAGCAGTCCATCTTCCATCTGAAAGAGAGTGATATTATTCTTCGGTGCCGACAATACCACCTGTTGTTGCAGGCACTGCATGAACAATTCTATTCTTTCACGGCTCGCCAAACACCATGAAGGAAAAATCGCACGTCATTTTTACAAGAAGTTCAAAAGGTGAAATAAACATACAGAAAATTTTGATAGATATTTCCAGGAAATTAGTTTCAATTATAGCTCTTATGAATCTTGTTATGGTACTGAAAATATGTTGCTACATGTAGTTAGTATAGATTCATTGCGAGTATTACTGAAATCCTGCAATTATACAAAACTTCCCAGTTAGCAGTTAGTAACGTGGAAAAAATGTACATGGCATATTTATGGAAAAAAAAACTAAAATGACTTTCCATACCCTGCGTATTTTTTTTAGCAAATCGTTCTTCCTATCAGAGAGGTTTGTTTTATTTGCGCGATTAAAATCTAAAATTAAAATCAATTTGGACAGCGTGTGAAAAGACTAAGTGATGTGTAAATATTTTTTTCATTTAAAGGGATTCATACATTGCAAAAATACTACACTAAATTGTATTCACATTATGTCATTTCGGTAACGATTGCAAAAAAATTTACTTGACATGTCGTGTGATTACGCAATTGATTTATAAACAACGTAATGCGCATGTCACAACAGATAGCAATATACCGACAATAAAAGAAGTGAACTGAGATAATCAATCATGAAATTTAATGTTCCTGAATTATGTAACAATAAAATTGCCTATATTTTGTAGCACCTGGTAAACTGACAAAAAAACTGCATTAGTAAACTAAGGTCACATTTTAGTTTTTGTACTTGTTTAAATACTATACTACGATGTATTATTTTGTTTACAAGTGTGGTGAAGATGCTAATTTCACCTAATCTATTTTTCAAGTTTTCTAGGGCTAAAAGATGAAAAGTGTGAATTATTAACCCAACTCTGCAAGAAGATAGATTGAGCACATTTTTTCCATACTTTTATTAGTAACTTGCGCTGCAACAACCCAACTTCTGTACAGAGGTACAACTTGCACACTTAGCCCATACCCGTTTAATTGCATAAAACATTTATGTAATTGTTTCCAAAATACTTGGCCTGCTCAATTATTTATGAAAGGTATTTTTACTCAAAAGGTTTTTCTTCAGAAATCAATATCATAGCAAAAATTGATAAATAAAATGTTGAATATTAAGATGTTGAGAACCCTTTAAACGCTTATTTATTCAAATCAAGAAGGATTCGTACAATGCAAAAAAAAAAGACTCAACATTTTTTTCTATTTTCAGTTAGGAATAGATACACACCAATACTGAACACATCTTTGCTGATGAAAAGAAACCTATATGTGTCAGTACGACTAAGATGAGCTGTCCTCAGCCAAGTTGTTATTAATTGATTTTTTTTATTTACAGTGAATTTAAGATAAAAATCTGAATTTTAATTTTAACTAGATGCTGGTATAAGATAGTAATACTTACACGTAGGTGTTTGCTTCTAAATTTACACACCTTAATATTTGGGTAACAAGGTAAGAACTAAGAATAATTCGATAGTTTAAAAAAAGAGTCAAACCCCAGTCAACCACAGGGTGAAAACAGAAATTCCATAACCTAAATGCACATCTACAGGACACTCCCCGACTTATTCCAAAAATATGCGTTCGGCTACTGTTAAAACGAGGTGCTCAAGGAACTTGGTTTTTGTTATATATATATATATATATATATATATATATATATATATATATATATATATATATATATATATATATATATATGAGGGTCGTTCGGAAAGTTCGTGGACTGATGCGATAAAATTAATACTAAGCTTACAAAATTTTTAAGGAACATAAAACAACAAAAGATAAAGAAATGTTGAAAATTTTAGCTTGATACCTTGAATATTTACCAAATTATCAAAAATAAAAAAGACATTATATAATCAACCGGCGCTGTCACCATTTAGTTTCATGACGTCACTGTTTCTCAATGTCAGCATTCTCTACCTCAAACACTTATCTTAATAAGATTCCTTGGAGTTAGGTAAAGATTTAAACCCGTCTTGTTTATTTGATTTTACAATGTCATGAACAGCTGCAAATTTTACGGTACAAGTATGTCATACAACATACATGTAAGTGAATTAACGGCATTTTTGGATGACAAATGCTCATATCAAAACAAGAGTTTTTCTCAGTTAAACTTAGGTAGAAAAAACGTAATCTTCGAGGTTGCGCCGCCTGGACATATCATTGCTTTCAAAAACATGAACAATTTATTAAAAAATATAAGTGATGATGTATAGTTTATTATATAAATAAAAAAGATGATGCTAATTAAACGTTAAAAATTCATTGATGTATCTTAAGCGGTTTTAATTTTATGGCGCTAGTCTACGAACTTTCCGAAAAACCCTTGTATATATATATATATTACGGGATGGATTTGTCCGTCAAATTTTAATTCTGGGCCAACCGTGAGTTGTCCTCTTATTGTTGAACCCAGATTCATAAAACCTCCAATAAGCCAACACGCGTTATAGTTTTAGTACTTTTATATAGAATCAGCATGGAATATACTTTTACATGAGCTTGGGATGTATCAGCACCGAAGGTCTGATTCCAACTGACTATTATTTTTAACAACAAAACATACATATTGAACAAAGATATGACAAAATAAAGGGATTAACAAGAACGTATAAAGAAATCAAGTATCAACAATTATTGAGCGACTGGTGACATTTTAGCGGCATATGTATATAATAGAATTAAAGAAGATGAAAGATTAAGTGACAATAAATATAAACAGAAGTCAATTAGGAGATTAACTGTCCATGTCAGACTGCCTCAGGTAGGATTAAAGCTGTGCGGA